CGCTTTTTCAAAGTTATTCGTTGGCAATATCAGATATAAATGAATACAAAGACACACTTAATGAAGTAAACGAGGAGGGAAAGGTGGAACTCGACTAAAAGACAAATTTTAATTATATAAATTAAAATTGAACGAGGGGGTGTGTAAATAAATAGTTCCACACGAGTTTAAAGTAGAAAAAGGGGAACTCACAGACCCTCCAACAGACGTAAGGAACGTAAAGTGTTCCTTCTATCTGCACAGACTGGGTTGCTGACGCTTAATGTAGACGGCTTCAGAAACTCGAAGATGGTGTGTTGATCGAGCACTCTGTAAAACAGACAACCACGTGTCTTCGTACTAAGAGGCACAAGCATGATTGTCCAGTAAATGTTGACCAATTGCAGACTCATGGACTGACTGAGTTGTTCTTTTTATAGGCTGACTGGGGCTGCCTAAACGCACAAAAGCAGGAACATGCTGCGCCACCTGCGTCTCCAACCTTAGATTGGTACGTCCTATGTATACCGCATCACAACGGCATTTAAATTTATAAACGACTAAATTTTTATATTTTTTATATTTAATTATAATTAAAATTATAATATAATTTTAATTAATTTTATTTATATATATATATATATATATATATATATATATATATATATATATATATATAACCATAATAAAAAGTATAATTTCAAGCACAATTTTGATATTAAATTCTATCCTTGTTAAGAGTAAGAATAACTAAAATTTAAATGCATTGGAAGTACTCTACTTGATGCCTCACCTTCTATGTGCAGCCAACGTGGCCAGTCATGACTCTCCGAAATTTCCTGTCCTTTGTGGCTCTTAGGAAGTTTTGTCTTTTCGTTATCCCTCGTAATCCCTATTCCACCAATCATTTCCACAAGCTCGCTATGTATGTTATTTACTGCTTACCTCTGTTCCTCTTGCTTTCAGTATGTCATGTAAGTTTTAAATTCGCCATAAACACTTTTGTCATTATGTTTCCCAGAAATTACAACAGTCTCTTTCTCCTTAAATGTGCCCTTTATATTTCCATTTTTCGTAAAACTTGGTCGTTACTAAAATATTCAGTCCATGGTATCCTTCTATAGAACCACATTTCTGTTCCTTCAAGTTTATTTTTCGTCTATGCGGAAATTTTCCAGTTTTCACTGTCATATAAGTGAACCTATATCATATAACAATTCATCATTCTTTTATTTGTTTCTAGCAAAACTCTCCTATTTCTTAATACTTTGCTTAGCTTTGGGAAGGTAACTTTCGCCATTCCAATGCGCCTTCGGATTTTGGTGTCACATTTTTCGTCCCCTATTAAAACACTCCCTAGATATTTAAATTTTCGTACTTGCTTGATTAAGGTGTCTCCAGTTTGTAGTTTGCATCTCGGGTTGTTCCTCTTGTGAACAACCATTACATTCTCTCTTCTTACAATTGATGTTATTTTGCACTTTCTTTTACTACCCTTTCTACTTTCAGTAATTTCCTTTCTGCGTCTGCTATCAACACTATCCCATCTGAATATCTAATGTTGTCAAGATTGTGGCCGCCAGTAATGATATCTGGATTGCCTCACTGTAAAGATTGAATAAGTCTGATTAGAAGACACATCCTTGCCTTACATACTTTTTCTCTACATTTACTGAATTCATTTTCTATCTATGCAAGCAGATTGGTCCCAGTATAAGTTCTGGGTTATTCTAATATCGTTCCAAAATAAATCGAGCTTACTTTGCATTTCAAAGAATTCTTTGTGGCGTAGCTTATCAAACGTTCTTGCATACAATAAATATAGGATTTCTTTTTCACATTTCTCTATTCTTAAGGGATATGCTTTTTGCAAGCGGGTTTATTTCTGTAGACATAAAAGAATTGAATGGAAATTATTAATTTACTGCAAAAATGTTGACTTCAGTGAAAGCTTTTCTATGTAGGTACTCATAATTATTTAGTCCAGAACGCATTACTGAAAAGTATACACTAATGAAAACAATTTTTATAGGAAAAGATTTTCAAGCCAATGATCTCACAAAGTGTTAGCAAAGGGGGGAAAAGGAGAAAGTATTTTTTATCTTTCGAGCATTTTTACTAAATTTTACAGTAAGATGTCAAATACTGTAAGGAAATGAGTATTATGAAGATAAAGAGGATAGTTAAGGACTGACCCTTGAGGAAAAGACTGAAATCTTCAGGGAAGCATCCGTACGGGAGTCTATTCGACAAGGTGGAAGTTCTTTGGAGAAAAAAACTTATTGAGTGGAACTTTCTTTTTATGTTTGAAACACAGGGGAAATTAGGGTGATGCAACTCCGGGGAAGAAGCATGAATACAATCTGACTCTTATCTGTTTCCTTGTGTGCGCCCAGATTCATGTTGCTAAGAGAGCAATATGACAAGATAGTATTTCACAGTATAACTCTTTAGTCTTTTCCATATTAGTGGATCTGCCGTAGAGCTGTGCCATTTTTATGTATGAACATAACTGTAACAAATACCAGAATATGTTACCCATAACATTCTGGTAATATTTTTTATATCATTTTAGTTTTAATATTTTTGAGAAGTGCATAAATTAACCTCATATTATACTCTGTTCCATTGACAGTAATATTAATTATAGTTTTGTTAGAGTAATGCCAGGAGAGCTCTCTAGGGAAAGTACAGGGGGAAAGCGTATATGAGCAATCTTCCCTTTCTATAATGACTTGCTAACTGAAAGAGGGAAACAAGTATCAGGTGTTTTTCATTTTAAACTAAGCCTATTAAGACAGGCAGATTAGTATGCAGTATGGTGGTTACTGGCGTGGAAAGTGGGTTTGGCAGGTTGAATTCAAATTCCAGCTGAGCCTGCTCTATTCACCTTCACACAACTACACATGGAAAAGTATGAAACCACTTTACTCTCCTAGGTAGAGATTAAAATCAGGACAGGCTGGGTTCTCTAGCTTTATTTGGCATCCAGTCTAGAAGAAGGACAAATCTGAATTTTAAACTGGTTGGGTATGGGGCTAGTAACTCCACCATGTAAAGCCTACTTACTACGGGAATTATAGTAGCATCAGCATGTATGATGAGGCTGGGACTATATTCTACAGGGGAGTCTACATGGTTAACAAAAGACATTAAGGTAGGCATCAGGCATACACATTTAAAAATATATAGAAAATCAATTTCTTCCTTGTACATTCTCTCTAACACACACACGGACGCATAAATACACACACACACACACACACACACACACACACACACACACACACACACACACATATATATATATATATATATATATATACACGCACACACAAAGAGAGAATTAATATAAGTAAAAGTTTGTCATCTAGCTGATTGATATTACCTTCAGCATCCCGACTCCAGAGTTGCGTAAGCAGACCCGTTCTGCGTGGATGTGTGTAAGTGTAGGGTGCCGTGATCATTTGTGCTTTTCTTCGACTTTTTTCATTTCACACTCAGGCTTTAACTTTTTCTCCTATTTTCGTTTTCCCTCTTTTCTGTCGACAGTGGCCATTTGTAACGAATTATCACATTCTTTAGACATGCCACCGTTTTTAATGTTATTTTTAAGTTGTTTTTTTTTTTGCTAGGACAGTTATGTTTCGTTTTCTTTACATAAATAATTGATATTAATTTTTAAATGGTAAATACTTATGTATATATATATACACACACATAAGCACACACATACGCACACACACACACACACATATATATATATATATATTTCAATCGTAATTTTGGAAATTCTCTCCTCCTCATAAGAAATACAATAGCTTATTAAGATATAAATTTATTGAAAGTGCACTAATTGATGCTATGTCTGCAATAAATGCACCATAGGACAAAGTACAGGACCATCTTCTGAATTTCAAAGCATCGCTTAAAATTAATGAATGTTGTTTACATTATACTATTATTCTTCACTATCAGTGACTTAATCTATCTATTTTTACAATAGGTACAGTTAAATATCCTTCGAATACCTTGAGTGATTTAGTTAACGGTTTATGTTGCTTGATTTAAGGAGTTTATGAGCGATGATATCCTGCGTTGGAAAAGCATAGAGATGTCAGGCAATACCACAAAGAATGTTCTTGTTCCTTGTTTTCTGTCATAAAAAAGCTGAGCCACCGATTGGAAATTGCAATCGTTTCGGTTCAGAAGAAAAAACCTGTTAAAATTAAGGTAATATACGTATTCTTTATATTGCCTACCTTAGTTAAGATAATTACTTCAATTATATATCGGAGAAACTGCTTGACATTTTGGTAACAACTACCGTAAAACTAGTGATGTAAATTTCTGACAAATATAATGGGATTTCCAACGTTCAGCTGAAGCTTGTTTGAACAAACATCTCGCAGCTTAAGAGAGTTGAAGAACTCATTTGAGTTATGAACGGCTTCTGAGGAGTTAATTGTTTTTTACAACTGAAAATCCCCAGGAATCTCTTTTAGCAGCTTTGAGTTTATTTCTTCAGTGAATGCCTGGAATTTCAGTGTTGTCAAGAATGTATTTTCTAATTACTGAGTAAGAATGAATAATAAACAGATTATATTTTTGAATTTAGATTTGTATTAAAAAACCAAGTGATTTATTTAAAACAACTAAAATTTATTTTTCATCTATTTTAGCAGAATTTTTTTGCTTAAAAGTAACACAAAATCTACCTTTTAGGGGATATATCATATAAAAATGTTTTATTGTTTTTATATAATCATGTAAAGAGATAGAAACCTTTTAAATATGAAGAGATTTACAAATATTGTTGCAAAGGGAAAGGATATCCCATTATCGTTTCAGTTTTCAGATGTTCTTTCTCGTATAAAAATGTTAAAAGATAAATAACATTTGTTTAAGTTACCGATTTCTTACTGACATGTCAGCTGCTACATAGCTTTTGCGATCAAGCAGGAATCGATACATCTTTCTTTGACTCACAACTACTAACAACGAAAATAAACTAGCGAAAAATGCTGAACCTTAGTAATTTTCTGACGAAACGATATACAACTCTCTTTTTTCTTTCTTGCTTAATGCTCATAAACACTGTGAATGCTTTTGTCGATAAACTGAAGCCAACTTTCTCACAAGTGAACTCCAATTTGATAAGAAATTGTAATATCTTATTTCGTCTCATGATTGTTAGAACTCATGACCCTTAACATTTGAGTAATAGGTATTTTGATAGGATTCCAAGATTGGACAATCACTTTTGATACTTTATCGTCGTCTATTGCTACAACGCCATTGGCTACTTTCCTTCAAGACATAACTTCAGTGAATTCCTCTAGCAAGGGTGCTCGATAATCTGTGGAGACAGTAAAGAATTGATTAGACTGTCTTCTGGTAAACAAATTCAAAAACGGAGTTTGTTTCTTTTACTGATGTCTGAAAGGAGTTGGGTGATTAATCGAATTTGGCGTCAATTGTGTTTAAAATTATCAGTTAAAGCAAGTATTGTGATGTGGGTATCTCTGTAAAAGGAACGAGATGATATAAAGTTCAAGTACGTTGATAGATAATTTCTTGAATTCTTCAGTAATTCAAATTAATATTTTTATTGGCAATTTTCAAATAAATGAAGTGAAAATATAATGTTACTTTCTAAAAAAACATTATGTTATTTTATATCAAAATAGTACATCTATTTCATTTATATTATGACGGAATATGTGGGTGGTGATGTAAGAGAGTGTGAAATCGGAGAAACGTGTTCGAATTTCAATCAGATTAGTTACATTTACAAATACTCTTGGGACCCATCTCTTCTTCCCCTAGGGCAGCCCAGATTCTATAGCCTTAGTTGACAATCATTCTATAGATTGTGCATCGATGAGAACATCCATCTATCAGTAATCTGTGCCACTCGTACAGATGTATCGGCCTATAAAAACGCAAAGTGACTAAAATACTTCAGTCGAATTAGTTGCGCATTCTTCTGTAGACGGAGAAAGTGTTTCTCATCAAGACACAATGTGGAAATTTTAGTAAAGTTTACTATAATTAATCCTATTTTATTTCATTTTTTGCTTAAACGCTTCAATGTAGGCCATTGAGGTTCTCCACAAACACCGTTTATTTATTATTTGTGAACTTTTATACATTTCTCCAGGGCTTAGAATTCATGTTTGCCTTCTTTTAGACGAATTGCCACCCAAAGCTAGAAAAACCAGTCTACCCTGCTATTTAACCTCTAGCTGGAGGAGTCAAGATGGATTCATACCTTTCCCGAGGACATTAGTGCGAAAGTAAACGTAACAGACTAAAATCAAAATTGAACTCAGCACATCGATTCCAGTTTATGTCCATTACACTACCCGCACATCCAAAGCTTTATTAGTTCGAATTTCTTATCTAAAAATTGAAGGTAATGCAATTTCTCTAACTCCATCAATTATTCTGACTAGTTCACTCCTACATACAATAAAAAACCACAATAAATATTAGCATATCTTTATAAATTAATTAATTGGAAACATCTATCTTTAAATAACTTATCTTTACAAGCAGAATTGAATACAATTTATCTGTAATTAATAACAGAATACCATCTTAATCCTTCTTTCTGTAAAGTTGATGATTGTCTCTTAATCAGAGAGAGGTTGAGTAAAGAGATGGGGAGAGATTTACATGTTCATATATGGGACTTTGTGTGAGACCAATCTAAGCTCAGTAAATACCAACTCCTACACATTTAATCACTTAAGCTTCACAAGCCAATAAAATAGATTCAATTACTGTAAAATGTATGCTGATTAATTTACGCGATTTGTGAAATTAAAAGTTCAACCACGTTCCTCCTCACCACATAGATTTATTCTTTATCTCATGTCTACAAACAAGTCATTTAAATGTCTGCTGCTGTTAAGAGAAAATCACTTCTCTCTGTTTTCGATATGTGTTACCTGTAGGAAGAAAATCACTTCTCTCTGTTTTCGATATGTGTTACCTGTAGGAAGAAAATCACTTCTCTCTGTTTTCGATATGTGTTACCTGTAGGAAGAAAATCACTTCTCTCTTTTTCGATATGTGTTACCTGTAGGAAGAAAATCACTTCTCTCTGTTTTCGATATGTGTTACCTGTAGGAAGAAAATCACTTCTCTCTGTTTTCGATATGTGTTACCTGTGGGAAGAAAATCACTTCTCTCTGTTTTCGATATGTGTTACCTGTAGGAAGAAAATCACTTCTCTCTGTTTTCGATATGTGTTACCTGTAGGAAGAAAATCACTTCTCTCTGTTTTCGATATGTGTTACCTGTAGGAAGAAAATCACTTCTCTCTGTTTTCGATATGTGTTACCTGTAGGAAGAAAATCACTTCTCTCTGTTTTCGATATGTGTTACCTGTAGGAAGAAAATCACTTCTCTCTGTTTTCGATATGTGTTACCTGTAGGAAGAAAATCACTTCTCTCTGTTTTCGATATGTGTTACCTGTAGGAAGAAAATCACTTCTCTCTGTTTTCGATATGTGTTACCTGTAGGAAGAAAACTAGTTCATTTGTTATTTGTTCATTTTATTTCTTATCTTTTTTGTTTGTTTTGTTTTGAATAAATCGCTAAAGTCTTCAGCCTCGACTTCTTAATGAACTTCACAGCAACAAATACATCAATTATTGACACTATTTATATTCTGACTATTGTCCTAATATCTGTTTTTGTTGTTATAGGACAATAGCCGAGTGGATTAAAGCATTCGTTTGTGAATTTGGTGTCAGTAATGGTGAGTTCAATTCCTGAGCCAGGCAGTGTTTACTTGGTCTCAGTAGAAATGGGCGAGCAATAACTGAACAGTACAAAAAATACGAACTAGTCAATATCCCGAGGCATGAGCAGTGGAACGAGAACAATCCACCCCTGTAGATTAAACAAAAGGTTCATCTCAGAATTCCCTGTAGGTTACTCAGATAGATATACACCTGATGAAGTTCGGAGTGGACAACGACCGAAATGCTGTGATAACAACAGAAAAGTGGACCATAATAGTTCTAATAGAAAAAAGATTTCCGACAGTAAACAGTGTTGATAATGAAAATTCACTTATTCAGTCAAATTTATTTAAATAATGTCCTTTCAAGACGTCGAAGATCATAACTCTCTAAAGATTTATATTTTATTATCTGTGAATTAGCATAGCTTCTTCGGAAAGATAGTGGAGTAGTTTCTTTGTCTTGTATATGTGTAGTGAAAACAGAGAGGCCGAATAAACTTAAAGATAAGCTTTATTCCACTTTATCAATACATGTAGAAAAAAAAGCAACTGCTTATATCTACAGTCGACTGTTCAATTTTCAACAGGGGTGGAAGAGAGAACTCAATTACTTCTGAATACTACAATACGGTTCTAAATTTAGAATTTTCTTCTAGGGAACTTGATATTACCAAAGTACTCTAGTGCACCTTGCTATTTAATTCATAGCTGATGGAAGAAGAGATGGAGCTACGCTTTTCCCAAATGCATTATTGTAAAGTGAACTCAACAGACTATAGAGGGACTTTATGACTGTTTCATTGTAGAATAAACTTTAAAAATAACACTCAGATTGTGTATGTTAATATCGTAAGAGAATATGCAATGTCTTACCTTTCGATAGTTGTTTTCTCTTTCTTTTTCACCTTTGCAAAAAATAGTAGTTGATTCGATCCTCACTGAATGTTTTATGATTCTGACCTTTGGTTAAGCATATAAAATTCAATGAAAAATGTTTCTTTTCTCATTAGTAATTTGTATTTTCTAGAATGTTTTTCAGCTCTGAAAGAATTGGTAGTTTGTCGGTTCTTTTCAGAAAATAGTTTTGATTATAAACAACACGAGACAAAATTATCTGTATTACATCGTACCAATTAAGAAACAAGATTTTATTACTAAAGTTCGCTAATGTTAGATTAAAATCTTATTTTTAAAAAGTACATGTAATATAGCAACAATTTATTTTACGAATTCGGCTTCATCGCTGAAAAAATATTTTATTGTGATGAACGGTTACAAGCGAGAGGGGAAATTGGGATGTGCTCATTTTATTAGCACAGTACACTTATATTTGGTATTCTAATTATAATTAAATACAGATATACTTCAAAGAAAATCCTAGATATTTCCAAATAGCAGGGTTTTATTTTTCTTTTATGAATTTTTACATTTTTAAATGTTTTTTTAAAAAAGAAAATTTAATTTTAATTATGCACATTGATTAAATTTGAAGTGATATAATTTATATAGAATTACATAACTTAAGGTTAGACGTTTGAATTTACCATTTTTTTCCGTGGGGAATGAAATAAAAGGAAATTTGTTTTCAGGTAGAATTTTAATTCTAAACAACTTCTGAATTTTTTATTCGAAACAAGATCTGCATTTAATGGTGCCAATTATAAGAAACAAGATTTACTTCATTCAGTTTTGATGATTTTAGATTATTAATTTATTTAACAATGTCTAAAGACTGGTACACTAATTATAGTTAAATTCTGATATACTTCAAAGTACATCGAAAATATTTTCCAAGAACAGTCCTTAATTTTTCTTCAACTTTTACATTTCTTGTTTTGATTATTGCATATTTCGTTCTATGACTGAATTTAATTTTACTTCTTGAATGAATTTGATGTGATATAATTGTATAAGCATTTCTATAACTACTTAAAGCTAGACATTTAAATTTATCACGTATTTTCCCTTAAATCCAATTTGAGTCAATATATTATTTAAAAGAAAATAGAAAAAGATATATACTCTGATTAAATTTGAAGTTATATAATTTTATATGGATTGGAACAAGAAATGGATGTTAGTCTTCTAACTTTAACCACGTCTTCCCTTTAAATGTAATGCATAATATATTTGAGTGTTCATATCTCATTACATATATAAGTCCATAATGAAAGGCATTCATTTGGTACGGGCTGTTGTTCGGTACGATTCTCATTGTGTTTATCGGCAAGACATCAATTTAATTCTCAACAATTTACCAAGACAGATGAATTCATAAGAATTATTGTGCCTATTTATCACAAAAGCTATCGTCGTCCATTAATATTCAACCATTGAACCTACAAAAGCATAGCAGTATCTCACTCAACCAGAGCAGATTCAGCAATCCTATTTCAGTATATGAAAACTTGGTAGATTATTTATTTACTTAATCCCACTTCCATTCACATGTAACACTGTTAACACACAATGTCAAATAAAATATTCCATTTTAGAAGCTTAAGTCAAACATAGTTGTATTTCTTATCGATGATATTAATATTTTAAATGAATATATTTATGAAATTTTATGCAAGCTTAGCCATTAGAAAACTTGAAATTTAGTTATACCAGGTAACAAAACTGAGTTTTATTTGAATAGTTCCTTATAGAATCGTCATCCTGAGATAAATATAGAGTATTTTGAAATGCAGGTTGAATGAAGGAATATATTTCTGTCAGCTGCTCACGTTTATATACGACATATATCTTGACAAGCTTGTTTTTTCTGTATTACCTACAAGACGCGTGAATACTCTAAGGTATATTCTGTAATTTTATAGAAAAAGTATATATCGTAATTTTAAAAAGTACATATAATAATTTATATATTTTAATGATTTAGAAATGTTTTACAAATATTAAATAAAAGATTTTTTTCATAAAAAAAAATTAAAAAATACTATTTTCTTCTTCACAACTTCTTAAGACACATTTGTTTGAAAGAATATTAATTATTTCTTCTTGCAGTTTACATTTACCGTTACATGTTGAAGTGGACTGACTCTTTAAAAACACTTTAAATGTCTTTGGATAAATAATACTTGTTGGAAATAAATGTAAGTCAATTAGCTATGATATTCAGTGAGAATAAAGTTTCAAGGCTAATTGACGTAACATGGCAACTATTGTCCAGTTAACTGGAGATATAAAGAATTTCAGTCATAGTGAATGAGGAAAAATTCCGTCAGTCACACAGACATATATGTTGTATATATGAGAATGAAAAATATTCGTTTTATCGTGATTGATAGAAATCCAGTTATATCTGTGATTATGGGCATTGAATTAGCATTCTTTCCTTCAGCCAGAGTCCTGAAGAAATTTAGCCCTAGATGGTAATTTCAGTGTTTTCTTATTATTATTCTTCTGCAAAGTGCATCATTTTCCAAAACGTTCTCTTCTAAAACGAGGAAAGATCTGAAAAACTTTACTTCATTTATGCGTTTATATGGCTAAAGGAAAACGAAAAGACACATTATATTTGTGTAAAGATTGCCATGTCTATTTAAGCATTGTACTATACTTTAAACTCTTCTACACAAAAGCGTTTTTTAATAGATGTTATTAAACATCATTGTAAGCCGGTTTCATTATCAGGGTTTAAATTATTCACGTTATTTAAAACTATCTTAATATAAGGTTTTGCAGATGATGCAATGTTGATAGCAGACACAGAAAGAAGACGACAAGAACTCCTACAGAAGACAGTGAAGGAAAATGAGAACAAAGGATTAAACATCAATTATAAGAAGATATAATGCATGTCTGTTAGCAAAAGGAAAAGTCAAACATGCAAATTACAAATGGGAGATACCAAAAACAATCAAGTAAAACAATTTAAATAGCTAGGAAATGTGTTAAGAGAGTACGGAAAGTGCGAAACTGAAATCCGAAAGCGCACTGGGATAGCGAAATATGCCTTTCACAAGCTAAGCGAAGTATAAGGAAACATGGACATTTCGTTAAAAACGAAGAGAGTACTGAACTGTTATGTAATATAATTCCTCCTATATAGCAAAGATGAAGAAGAGACTTCATGCAAAAGAAGTCTGGCTCTACAGAAAGATGCTGAGAATAACATGAAAGGAACATGTGAGTAACGACGAAGTTTTAGAGAATATGGAAACAAAAAGGACACTTATGCTTAACGCGAGAAAGGGAGTGCTGACATTTCTAGGGCACATAATAAGGAAAGAGGGTTTGAAAAATCTGATACTCACAGGACAGACTATTTGAAAATTTTGATACACACAGACAGGCAATAAGAATAGAGGAAAACAATTCACAACATACCTAGCAAGCTTCAGTGAAGGGGTGGCAGAAAAAGGTTTCGGTGAGATAAAAAAAAGACAAAATTTATTAAAATATACAAAGGACAGGAAATTATGGGGATCCATGATTGTCCACGTCCTGAAGGGACATGTCGCATGGAAGAATCAAGTAAAAGTAAAAGAAAAATGATGTAAATATTTCAGTAATCGCTCCGAACAAATTTTACAAAACAATA